CCCCGCTGGTAACGGGGGGAAAAGGAAGGGAGCGCGGCGGCGTGGGGGTGTCGTGGGGTGCAGCGGGTTGAGGAGCGGGGAGGTTTGGCCATACCGGGGAGGGAACGGGGGATAGCCCCTTTGCGAGGCCTCCGGGTCTGGCACCGGCCGGGCTGCCCAGAGCGGCACCAGTGTAAAATTTGGGTTAATTTTCAGTTATCTTACGGCCAGTGCTCCAGGGCGGCGAGTTGTTAACGTTGGAGGGCAATTTGTTTGAGTAAACGCTTGGGTTACTGCCTGAATTCTTGTCCGTTTGGGATGTATTGAGACGTGAAACTCTTGTTTTCACATGCACGTGCCATGTGTGAAAGTGCCTGCCTCCTATTCTCTGGCAAACCGGTTTGTTACCAGTTACCACTCATTTTTTGGCGTGTTTAAAAGAAAAGCCTGAATTATGCTTTGACAAAAGTAACCTGCAAAGGTTAATTTCTATCAGTGCGGTTACTAAGGTGTATATTTTATGTTAAACTTGCTTTTTATCACTAATATTTATCTCTCTGGGCAGGTACACGGGTCCCCTGTTGGAGGAGGAAGCCCTGAACAAAGCAGCAGAAAATGGATTGTCTTCACCAGAATTTTTTGAGCTTTGCGTTTGGTTAGGTTCCCAAATAAAGTCACTTTGTAATATGGAAGAAAGCATCACTTCAGCAGATGGTATATGAATGTTAATTTGTTAAAGCACTTTAGTGTTTGTTCAGTGGGTTTAGATCCGTATTGTTCAGCTGATAGTGAAATTACAGTGATGAAGTTTAGAAGATAGCTGAAAGGTAGCCAGACTGAGGGTGATATTTGCATGTATGTGGCTTTTAGATTAAGGTCTTGTGAAGACTCTTTCAAAAGGAAAAGAAGGGTGCTTTGGGTTTGGTTTTTTTTAGCTCTGCATAAATATAAAAAGGATATTCATCCATCCTGTGAGTGGTTGTTACATGAAATCATATTTTGATGGCTTAAATTCCAGTGCCTAGTATTTTCAGCTAGTTGGTCCAGTGCAGTGTTCCATTCAGCACTGCGTGTAGTTACGTTAGTTGCTCATTAGTACTACCTGATTCTTTCTCTTGAGTGCTGGAACTTGGATGAGATTTTATGTTGCTTATGTTTTCACAAGAAAGTAGTCAAACTAAAGCCAACCATTGAAAATAATGGGCTCATGACTCCTGTAACTTGTTCATCAGAAAATTGCTTACAATGTTATGCTGTTTTGTGAAGCTGTTCACTTCCTAGTGATGTTCATTTGCATTCATGTCTTCAAAAGCTGCTGTAGCATCACCATCTCGTTCAGAGCATGAGTACAATATTGCTGTAGGTATTAAAAGGCTTGTCTGCTTGTATGTAGGACTTCTTTAAGAAAAAAGAAAATGTTACTAGGTTGACAGGTGTAAATCTTTGGGCTATTGAAACCTGCAATTTGAATGTATAAGTTAAGAAAAATAGATTACGGTTTCATGATTCTGTAAAAAGCCATTAGCTTTGCATTTATTTATTCCCATAGGTGATAAAGATATAGAGAGCTTCCAACTTGAGATTAGTGGCTTTTTGAGAGAAATGGCTTGTCCGTATTCATCGCTTGTATCTGGAGACATCAAGGACAGATTAAAAGAGAAAGAAGATTGTCTTAAACTCCTCTGTAAGTTATAACCATTTTTCCCATTTATATTACAGCATTTTACATGCATGCTCTATTGTTATTGTACAATTTACATTAAATAGTTCTTTATTTAAGTATACGTGTACAATCATTACTACCTAGCTGAGCATGCATTGGCTTACTTGTGCAGAAGTGGAAAATAGAAAACTGTTTCAGTAGAAACTAAAATTTCTTTCTGAAGTATGGTTCAACGTCCTGAGGCCTCCTGATCCCTCTATTGATCCAGTTCCAGCTCAGCTGAAACTGAGACCTTGCTTCCTGTGTTTCTGAGAGGTTTCTGGGCAGCTTAAAAGAAAATGCTACATGATTTGAAGGTGCTGAAAGCAGGATTGAGAGAAGCAAAGTCTAGGTTTAAGCTGGGCTTGGACCAAGGAGTAGCAGCAGCAAGCAGTGTGATAATATGAAACTTGCCAAGGAGCTAGAGGTCTAGTGGCAGAAGTGGATTAAGCAGTTAAATATGATGTGTAGACTGAAAGTAGGGAGGTCAAGTGAGAGTTAGTTCTGGTAAAGAATCTGAAACTGATACTGACCTGTCCAGGAGAGAACTGAGGAAGAGTCTCCCTTTTATCATGGTTGTATTACAAATGTAAATATTGTATTTGTATATGAGAACGTGGATGCAGAAATATTCAAGTGTCTCTAATTCTGCCATTATGGTACTTTTCTCTCTAGTATTTCTAAGTACAGAACTTCAGGCTTTAAAGATATTGCACAGCAAGAAAATTAAAGGCTCTCACTTGGAAAAGCACAATGAAGCTTATCAGGAAGTGCAAGCTATTTGCAATGCACTGGGCCTGCCAAACTCCTCATCTTCTGATATTCCTCTCCTGTTAACCAACGTGGAACAAAAGGTATGGGCTTTTATGTGTTCTCTCTATTGTTAAACCGTAAGCATTATCTCTGTAAGCATTTGTCTTAGAGTTAAGGGCCTAACAGTCTAATCTATAAAAGCCCTATCTGACCAGTGCAAAGGAATTATTTTGAAAGCCAGCCTAGTGTTTAAGTTAAACTGTTTTAGTTATGAGGTGAAGTATTTCAGTATTTCCTTGAGGATGTGATGTACCTGATGAGGTATACTTTGCCATGCAAATTTAAGCTATGAGCTGAAGTAACATAGTTTTCCTGTGCTCCAGTGAGCGGAAGGCTTTGGGTAATAACTGATTTTTTTAGTTTATGAATTTCTCAATTGCAAGTATTGGGTTTTTAGTGCCATTTCCTTAGTTGCAGAAGAGGATGAAAATGCCTGAATTGCCAATAGCCAGCGAATAAGCCAACTTAAACCATATTCAACAGGATAGTTCTTTCAGTTGTGTCCTGTTAGTTTCTAACTCACTTCACTGATGTGATCCTTAATCTGATTTCCTCTCTGCAGAATGTAAATAGGCTCTTGGGGTAGAATTTATCTTCTCTGTCAGGCAGCTAAAAGTTTTGATCTTTATTTCTCCGTAGTGTTTGGGGAGAGAGTGGGAGACCGATCCCCTTTAAGAATTCTGGGAGATACATGGAATGAATCTCTCTGTGCTTCTGAGTCTTTGAGTTTAATAATTTTACATGATTATGATCCTTTTTTTCTTCCTTCTCTTTTCATCGGCCAGCGGGCAATTTAACATTCAGAGTTTTGGGGGAGAGGGACTGTTACTTGTGTGGTTTTCTTACGTGTATACGTCTCTAATGTGACAAGACCAAACCTTTAATAGATTCCTTTATATAAAGCAGCATCCAGGTGACAGTGAAAATGCCTATTCCTGCACTATTAACTCTGCTTGATTTAATTAGTTTGAATAAAATCTTTATATCCAGTCTTCTCATTAAATATTCACGAAAGGATGAGGAAACAATTCTAGCACTGTTTTCTGAGGATTAAAATGTCGGAGTTCCAGCTGGTGGCTAATTGATTGAAACTTGCCTAGTAGTGTTGCTCTCCCTCTGAGGGTGTTAGCTGTGTTTACATCCCCGTGGGTTTGCAGGCTGCAACCACGGGCAGTGGCCTGCCTTGCTCACTTCCCTGCTTTGCTTCTTGGGTACACAGTTAGTTTCATCCCATGTTAAAGGGGGTAGAACTCTACTTCTGCAGTTGCAGGACAGCAAAACCAGACCTGATGGGCCAGTTCCTTTAGGCACACACAGAGAGTCTGGAAAGTTTTCTTTGAGTTATTAGATTCATGGTGTCTGCCACCTTTTGCAAAGTCCAAGAATTCCTTTCAGATGGAATCGCAGGCTTGAATTGATGTATAGGGTGTTACTGTTACAGTTTATGTAAATTGTTACATTTCCATAAGAACTAAAATGAGCAAAATCTTTAAAGCCTGTGGTTTTTCTTTTGTTTTGTTTTTTTAACAATACCGTCTGGGCTTTTTTGCGATGGTTTTCAGGTTTGTCAATTCCACAGTGGTTATACCGCTTGTACTCACTTCAGAGTGTAGAAAGGTGGCAAAACTAGTTTGTTCATCTTCTATGACTCCAAATTAACAGTGTAATTTGTTCTTTGCGTGTTTCGTCCGTTACACACAGAGTATTTTTTTCCTACCTCTCAGGGGATTTTGTGGAATTTCTGCTATATGTTTTCTTGTCCTTCATCCCTCACTTTAATACAGGACAGGTTCAGAGTTATTTGTATACAGTACAGAGTTAGACACTTACATTTGTAGATGTAGCTGAGTTAGAAGGGTGATACCACCAATTGGAATTCATCGGCTTTGTAAACATTTTTTTCAGAATGCCATTTGTTACCTTTTTTTAGATTCTCACAAAAATTCACTTGAAATGATCAATTTCTTTTTCCAAGTATTTTGTTGCTTCTGATTTAAGTAGGTCCTGTGTAAAATTGCAGTGTTGGTTTTTAGTATTATACTATATCGTTTGTGATAGAAACTTACATGCTAATCTAGTATTTTTATCGAATTTGCAAATGTGTCTGCAGCATTTCAACATGTCTACTCTTTGTCTCTGTCTAGCATCTTCAGCATTGTCAGTAGCTGTGGGAATAGTTCTGAGAATAGTTTGGCTGTGCAGCAGCAATCTACCAAAGGGACAGATCACACATTGTATTTTGGTATGGAACGTTAGAACATTGATCGTTTTTAATAATTTGTCAGTTTATTTGGAAGACTAGGATTGCTTTCTTAACTCAAACTATGAGTTTTATAGTAGCTCAGACTTTGAATATGCAGTTATAGGAAGTACCTTTTAAATTTGCATCTCCTGTAATAAACTGGGGTAGTGGTTATCAACATACATAAGAAAATGTGAGAGGTGAATCGACAGTATTACAGCCTCTTACCACTGAATATATTTTATTTTATTCTATAGCACTGAAAAATTAATAGTAATTTTTAGTTGTTTTTTTAAGATGCTGTTTCCTTGTAAAGTATATTTACAAAGGGTAACTCAGGAAGGTATTCTGAAATTTAGTACCAACTCCCCCACAAATTCTAAATAAACATTGATCAAAGATTCGGGAGAGTTATGCCAGTGTTGTGCTTTGTAATTCATGCTCGGATCTGGCTTTTTTGCAGTCAAAGATTGTAGTTAGGTATGAAATGCACACTATGTGACATTCTAATACTATTTATTTGAAAGACTTCTTAATACAATATTATTCAAAAGACTTCTAATTTTTTCCCACATTATTTGTTTTGTAATATGTGAAAAGTAATCCCCTAATAGTAGAGAATGAGAAGAAACTATAAAGGGTTACCGAAGAAATTAAATCAAAACTAAGCTAAAATAACATTTAAGTGAAATACAAGAAGAATATATTTTAAAATATTTGGGAATACTTCCTAGAATTTATTCGTATTTAAGTTAGTCTGTTGCTTTTAACTGTTAGTGTTTAATAGTTTTGCCAACATAATGGTGCTTGTACATTAAGTATTGATGTAGTTGCAGGGAACAAGACGGAAGAGTTATCCCGTTCACCAGACATAAAGGTCAAACAAAAATGTCTTTAAAGTTAGGTAAATATTGAAATGAAAATGATCTGCAGGTAAAAGGAAGAGAGGCAGAGGATGGGTTAAAAATATTCTGTGCTTAACATTTTAGGTGATCTTTCTGCAATTGTGAAGTGCACCTTATGACTAATTAAGACATTGTTCCTTCCTTAAAGTGTTGGTAGTTTAACTTAAATTAATAAAATGACGCCTCTCTCCAGGTCAGGTTTTTTCAAAATCTTAGAAACCCTGGAGGTACACCCATGTATGGTGTTTATATGTGCAAATGTGCATAAAAAGTACTGCTCCATTTTGACAGAGGTTAAACATGATTAACAAATATATGAACGTAGTAATGACGTGAGCTAAACATTTTTTAAGAGTATGGACTTGTAAAACAGATGAGAAGTGTCATGTTCAGTATATAAAGATAAGCTTTATTTGGTAACAACAGAATAACTGTGTATTTTTGTATGGCAGATTTTGAAGTCAATATTTTTGTCTCAAATCCAATAAGTGATTTATTTTTGAGCTATTTTTAGAGAGTGTATCAACTTCCAAAGCAATTCCATAAATATTTAATGTTATCACGGTCATTGATTTCACAATATGTTGAATAGTCAAATACATTTGTGTCCATCTAGCTTTTATTTAATTGGTTTGCTTTTTATCGCTGAGTGCGTGAGAACTTTAGGATGATTTGGCAGTTGCAATTTGCTTTACATTTCTATGAGTATGTTTTCACTGCTCTTTTATCTGGGCACTGCTTTTGGTATTGTTCCAACTTACACATACAGACTTCTTTCTGTGTTATGGTGGTAGTTTTTTTTTGAACTCCTGCTTATTCTTAATCTAGGACAACTCTCATGTTTAGGAATGTGCGTAGATTCTCACTTGAGTTGTATTCTTGTCCTCTGTGTGTCAAAGCTCTTGTGCTCGTAGCCCTGTCATCAAAGCTGGATGATGTGTTGTGTAAAACTGTAAGGCAGCTCAGCTTATTTCACCATTATAGTTGCAGGATATGCCTTCAGAGTCCTGCTGATGGGACTGGGCGAGCAAAGTGAAGATTCAGTAATCTGGGTATAGCTTTACAGTGTATCACAAATGTGAACGTAAACCAGTTCATCAGTAAAAAGATTCCTATGTAATTGTTACTACGTTAATAAACATGTCACTGGATAAAATTACATAGGTATTCTCTTTAACTTGGAAATAAAAGATTGCTGAAATTGGGGCAGTTTCCCAGTCAATAAAGGTTCTTTTCAAGGAAAAGAAGGTTATCAGAAGTAGTCAACATGGATTCACCAAGGGGAAGTCGTGTCTGACTGATCTGATAGCCTTCTATGATGGTATGACTGGATGGATAGATGAGGGGAGGGCAGTGGATGTTGTCTACCTTGACTTCAGCAAGGCTTTTGACACCGTCTCCCACATCATCCGCAAGCTTAGGAAGTGTGGACGGTGGGGTGGATTGAAAACTGGCTGACAGATAGAGCTCAGAGGGTTGTGATTAGTGTGACAGAGTCTAGTTGGAGGTCTGTAACATGTGGTGTTCCCCAGGGGTCAGTACTGGGGCCAGTCCTAGTCAATATATTCATCAATGACATGGATGAAGGGGTAGAGTGTACCATCAGCAAGTTTGCTGATAACACAACGCTGGGAGGAGTGGCTGACACACCAGAAGGCTGTGCTGCCTTACAGCGTGACCTGGACAGGCTGGAGAATTGGGTGGAGAGAAACCTTATGAAATTCAACAAGGGCAAGTGTAGGGTACTGCACCTGGGGAGGAATAACCCCATGCACCAGTACAGGTTGGGGGCCGACCTCCTGGAGAGCAGCTCTGTGGAAAAGGACCTGGGAGTCCTGGTGGACAACAGGATGACCATGAGCCAGCAGTGTGCCCTGGTGGCCAAGAAGGCCAATGGCCTCCTGGGGTGCATCAAGACGAGTGGCAAGCAAGTCGAGGGAGGTCATCCCCCCCCTCTGCTCTGCCCTGGTGAGGCGCGTCAGGAGTATTGTGTCCAGCTCTGGGCTCACTGGTTCAAGAAGGACAGGGAACTGCTGGAGAGGGTCCAGCAAAGGGCTACTAAGATGATTAGGGGGTTGGAGCATCTTTCTTATGAGGAAAGGCTGAGGGACTTGCGTCTTTTTAGTCTGGAGAAAAGAAGACTGAGGGGGGATCTTATCAATGCTTATAAATACTTAAAGGAGGGGTGCCAGGTAGATGGGACCAGTCTTTTTTCAGTGGTGCCCAGTGATAGAACAAGAGGTAATGGGCACAAACTTGAACATAGGAAGTTCCATCTAAACACGAGGAGGAACTTCTTTACTTTGAGGGTGGCAGAGCACTGGAACAGGCTGCCCAGAGAGGTGGTGGAGTCTCCCACTCTGGAGACATTCAAAAACCCGCCTGGATGCCATCCTGTGCAACCTACTGTAGGTGACCCTGCTCTGGCAGGGGGGTTGGACTAGATGATCTCCAGAGGTCCCTTCCAACCCCTGTCATTCTGTGATTTAGTTGCTCTTGTTTCTTCTAGTTCTGATTTTCACTGATTCTCTTCCTTAATTGTTCTCTCTAAACTTCCTTTCATTTTTCATTCTATGGAAATCGGCAGTGCTGGGTTAGATCTTTTAATTGTGATCAACTTGTCATGGCCGAATGTATGGCTTTTGTATGTGGAACCCAGTGTTGTATTTACCTCTTAGCTGCCCTTGCAGCTGCAAACTTGCAACAGTTCTAAACTCTGGATAGTGTTCAGCATCACTGGTTTACAGATTTTCTTTCACTCTGTAGCTATAAATTACATTGAGGATTTGTTTTGGTTTTGTCATGTTGTTTTTTTCCAGCAGCCAATCTCATTTTGGTAGGCTTTCTTTCTTTCAACTCATTAGAACCTTTCAACTCATTATTTCTGACCGTAACGGTACATGGATAGAAACCTCTTGCCTAATAGAATTTTTAATTCATCTGCTCTTTATTCGTTGTCCTATACTAATTACTGATTCCTTCATCTCTTGCTGTCATGCTGATCTTAATATATGTTTGATTATTAACTTTAGTTTTTGAATCTTCAGACATTTGTTTAAATTCAAGCATAGTTTGTGCTTGGTGCATTTGAACTTCGAAGTAGATTGAGAGGCATCATATACACGCGTCACTAAAATCAAAACAAGTTGGCTACATTTCGAAGACAGACAAATCAGACAACCCTGGAGGGTTTTTTGTAAAGTAAAGAAGGGGTGCAAAGAAGCAAGAATTAGCAGAGAAAGAGGAGCGTAGGGATCAGTAGAGTACATGGGACTGAACTTCACCCCTTATTGTAACCTCTTTTTTGATATGGATGGAGTATAATAGCAAGGTATATTACAGTAACTGGATGGCCACTTTTCAGATACTACTAGGCTGTCTTTTCTGCTCCAGTCAAAACACTGTTTTCCCATAATTTGCTCACTTCAGACCTTTTCTGAGGGTATTCTGGTTTTAACTTGCCACGGTGCTGTCCAAAGGTGATGTAAAAAGAACAAAATACATACCTTGGTTTTCACACAGAATTCAAGATCAGACTGTTTCCTTCGTATATGCAAAAAAAAAAAAAAAAAAAAGGAAGAGGGGGGTAATTACAAAACCCCTGAAATATGAGAGTTGATTTATCAAGTCTTTCTTTTCAAGTAGCTTTCTTTAGTCAGTTAACTAGGTGCGCTAGAGTTTGATTCCTGTCTTCCAGATTTTTTTCGTAGTGATCACTGGAGGTGGTATTTCTATACTATGTAGAGCTCAAAACTCTGACAAGATGAACTAAGATAATTCTGGGAGAGTGAGCTTTGAACCATACCTGTATCACAAATTTAATGTAAATGCCTGTGTGCATACATGAAGTCATACAATCCTTGCAAATGTGTCTAATGGCTATCAGCTACAGGTTTTACTGTAGGTTGTGCGCTACCTCAGTCCTTCCTTGCAACACGTGAAAGAGAATTAACCCAAGTTTTAGTCTTGTTTGATTTGGTTCCCCATAGTTATTTACAAAAGCAAATGAAGACGTAGTTGTTCTCTCTGTCAGACTTTGTGCAAAACTTGCAGGAATAATAATATGCATGCAGTCTACTCCAGCTGAAAAATCAGTTGGCCGGAAAGTTATGTACGAGTGTTGTGGGCACTGATGATAATGGTTTTAGAAGAGCTGTGCCAAAGGAACTTCTTGTAATGAGAGAGAAGAATGCAGTGGAGTTTAGAAGGTAGAAAGAGAGAGCGTACTTCATCCCCAGTTGTTGAGGGCAAAAACTAATGGAAGTATAAGCAAGGCTGATTTAAACATAATGTTAAGTGGAACCAATTATAGGATTAGAAGAAAATCAGTGAATGATGGCATACCTATCGTATCTCCTGCTTTTCTTACTAGCACCCATCACCAGATTGTTGTAGCCAAGTCTAGCATTTGGCAACATAACTCCTAGCTTCCAGTTGTTACATTGCCTTAATTGTAGTTACAAAACTTAGTAATAAGTAAAATGAGTAATTTAACTAGTCCTACTGCCTATATGCACTTGACAAATTTGCTATATAGATATTGTTCCATTAAAATTGGGAGGAGAAGTTGTGTGCCATAAAATATTTTTGTATAGAGTTTGGTCATGTAGTGAAAGTATTCAGGAAATCTTTTTGTAACGGACGATAAGCCAGAAGATGCATATTTGGTTTTATGAGTTTGCTGAAACAAATGTGCTGTGTTTGATCTTATGAGTAGCAAATTGTGATTGCAGGAAATTGTGCTGAAATAAATTAAATATCATTTATGTTCTGAGAAGAAGTATGTGTTTTGTTTCAGATAAAGGACGTTCTTTCAAAAGTTCAAAATAACCACGTGGGGAAATCACTGCTAACAAAACCTCTGAATTCTGACCAAGTGGTAAAAAAAAAAGTTTCTCCATTTCTTTTCTGTATTTAACAGGATGGTCAAAGTTAGTGCATACAGCTTCATCTAATGTCCATTTTACAGTCACTGTTCTATTACTAAATATTAATACTAAATTTCAGTTGTTAAATATTGAAAATGCTAATCAGATACTTCGAGAATTAATGTTATAAAACAGACTTTGTGTTGATTCATCCACTTATTAACTTTCAAAGTATTTTGTATATACATACTGCTGTAGCACTGCACAGATGCACTCCTAATTTTTTATAGCTTATAGTGGCCACTGGGGGATAGACATCTTAGTTGCTGAATGGGCTTGACTTTAAATTGACTTGTATAACTTAATAGATTTGAATGCTTGGATTTTTTTATGGTGCCACTGCAGGAAAGACTGGAAAAAATCAATGATGCCCTTCGCAGCGAGTATGAATGTCGCCGACGTATGTTAATGAAGAGGCTAGATGTGACAGTACAGTCTTTTGGCTGGTCTGATAGAGCAAAGGTAAGCTTGCTGTATTTTTTGCTTCCTGTAGGTGGGAGTCTGCTACAATTCCCCAGATCTTCCTACTGAATATATACACCATGTAAATACACTTCTGTTACTGTTGTCGTCTTTTCAACCAGTTTATCATCCTGGGTTGTAACATCCAAGTCCTAGATATTGAGGAAGGGGAAGGATTTGACCAGGTGGTACAGTCCATCCTTTGTGACTGTTTATAGCTTCACAATTATAAATTCTAGCATCCTCTGTTGGGGTTTCTCACTTTAATAAGTTCACATCTCCCCTTTTTTCTTTCTTATATCCGCCCCCTGCCCCTCCCCCCCCCAATCAAGCAAACTAAGAGGGAACCTCAGCATTTCTAATGCAGGTGCAAGAGGAAGACAAACGCTGGGCCTTAACGTGGATAGATTGGGTGCAAAGGGTGACTGCCCATAAAGACAGGGAGATTACAGTTACTGCTACCTATCTGGGATTCAAAGCTACTGAATAAACAGATGATCAATTGCACAGGCTATTGGAACAGCAGCTTGCATGAGAAAAGCACACAATTACTTGTAATCTTTCAGGTGGCTAAAAATTCCAACGCACTCTTCTGGGTTTTCTCTGCTGGTATCATTTTAATTGTGATAATTTCATTTGTGCTGTTTTCTAGCACTCTGTATATTAAAAAAATGATTTAACCAGTCTGAGCTAGAAATATATATTGTTTCTATCCAAGTGAGTAGAGAGATAAGATACAAGAAGTTTGTAATTTGTTGAATGTACATGTGGGAAGCTGGAGGCAGCTTATGAGCTGCAAGATCAAGTTTCCTTCCAAAGGTTTGTGTGGAAAGCTTCAGATGGATAAATCTTAAAACTTTGAAAACTTACTGAGAGTGCAGATTGTTCCAAGTCTTTCTGATGTCACAATTTGTGATTGACACCTGCAGACAGAATCAGTTTCATGAAGCTCATTAAGTATCACTGGAAGACATGAGTCTAGATGCTGCTGTGCTCCTTTGGAATGCCTCACTATTTAATTTCTGCAGGGGTTGTGAATGTTTTTATGCTGCAAGAAAGGAACAGGAGGGTATTTAGCTCACAGAAGCCAGGAGATGTGCCAACGTGCATAACTTCCTTATAGCTGTACCAATACAAATAGGTACATTTAAGTAAATTTAAAGTATACTTCTAAAATGTGGTTGGTGTTAACTGATGACTAACTTAAACAGACTAAAATTTTAAGTCACTTGATATTATTCCATTCAAACAATGTGAAAAACAATGAATACACTTTCACAATAGAACATGTCTGATAAAGACTGCTGATGTGAAATAGTATGCAGTTACAGAAGTAACCAGGCTACATATCAACTCAAATTACTTATGATTTTTCATCTTTTTTTCCTTATTTTTCATGTAGAAATACTTGTTTATAACTTCTCCAAGAAGGTTTTAGGGGTTGAAAGTGTTTTGGCATTGATATAATTTAGTTATTTTTTTTTTTTAAGCCAAAAGGCAAATTCTTGTCTTTTTTTAATTTATTTGTTAGCTTGCCTTTTTTTCCCTGCCATTTAATAGGTATTAAATGGCAGGGAATAGCTCTCTCTGCTTTTGATGGTGTGGCATTTTTATTGTTTTGGTTTGTTTTTTTTTAACTTGATCAGTCCCTAAGAGGGACAAGTTTGCAGACTGAAATGGATCCATAAATAGCATAGTGATTGCCTAGCAAAACAGTCATGTAAGGTAACAGTGCCTGTTTTCTTGTCCATCCAAGATTGAAATTTTTTTTACTCTGAAGATCATCTAGATTCTCCCAGAAAGTGCATTTATTTTTCTTTTCTGTTAAGCAAATTAAATATCAAAGTGTGTTTGGAAAAAATCTTATTTTCTCCCCTTCTCAGTCTCACTTTTTCATGGCTTCAGGTGTTTTGCTACATTGATATGTTTTTTCCACAATTTGATGTTACTTTGAAGCTGCTCTGTTTTCATCACATTTAGAAGTGATCTGTTAAATATGGCTATGTAAAGGTCTTGAGAGAGCAGTTGGGACTCTTAAATTTTAGTCCTTACATATGTTGGAAAACATCAAAGAATCTGTTTGTTGCCAGTGGATAGGAGAGTTTCTTCTGTAGTGGTGCTAAGTTTCAGCATCAATTAAACATGATCAGCAGCATTTTTTTTGTACAATATCTCCATTAGTATGAAGAGAATTGGTAACAACTGGCACTAAATTTTGTAAGATAACCTAGATTTTCAGACATTACACCCTGTGTTCAAATTGAAACTTACTGAGGCCAGTACGTGGTTTACGGTAAGCGTGTTTTGTGTTTTATGCCTAGTAAGTATGTTGTGTTTGATTTTTATCACTTAGGTAAAAACAGATGACATAGCACGAATCTATCAGCCCAAGCGCTATGCATTGTCACCAAAGTCAACTATTACATTAGCTCACCTTCTTGCTGCTCGAGAAGATTTGTCAAAGATCATAAGAACAAGTAGTGGATCAACACGGGAAAATACAGTCTGTGCAATCAACAAGGTATACTTTTTCTTTCTGGCATGTGGTAAAAAGACATGGGAGTTTACAGACCTATCAAAAGTAATTCTGGAATTACACTCTCCGCTTAATACTTTCCTTTCTCTTTGCAAGATACTTAGTGCTTTAAGAAAAGAAGGTTTGCAGCATTCCAGTAATGATTGCAGCAACTTATTTTTTATCTTATTACACAGTCAGTCATGCAACAGGATGAAACAGTAGTCTAGATGAGAAGGAACAGCGGTGGTTGGGTGTACATGTACACATGCATGCGTGTGTGTTTCAATGACGTCTTGAGTTCAGTGGAACTGCACATCTCAAGGATATGTGCAGATCTTTCTGGTATCAGTTCCTGGACTACCTGTTGCTAGGAGTATGTTGTTCAGTTCATAAACCAGTGTCTTTAGTTTATCAGGATATTATAAATCACAAAAGTTTCTGTGGAAGTGTCATTTTGCTGCAAAGTAAAATTACTTGGTTTAGCTACAGTAATAAATCAACATTGTATGGCTTTCTTGTGTGTGGCAAAAGCTGAAGCTTGTGAGTAATGACATTAGTTTCACCATTCAAATGGTGACTTAGCCTGCTTTTATTAGTCCTTTATTTACAGATTTTTCTAAAGTTTTGTGCTTCATTTAGGTACCCTTTAATATCTTTTGATCCCAAAGATTCTGAAATTTCTTAGTTATTGTAGGATCCTGGAGAAAGTCTTTTTTCTTGAGAGGACTTTAATTGGAGTGCCTGGGACTGGACAGAGTATGTTAACGTTCATCACACAGAGTTTAGGAAATAGGAAAACAACAACAAGAAGACCTACTTGGATACATCTTTGTTCTTCAACTTAATGTTTTGTGTAACTTTGTCCAGTATGATCTCCCTTTTTCTACACTGAGTAATATCCACCAAAGTCAAGATCCCTTTTTTTTTTTTTCCTTTTCTTGAAAGTGTTACTGCAACATCTTATGTATTTTGTCCATTCCAACTCTCTACTGAGTGTCAGTAGTTTCTAATCTAAGGCAAACTGGCATTCCTTGTAGAGTATCACATCATTTTGCCAGTTTCTGGGTTTTGCCAGCTGATTAGGTTGGAACTTGACCTTTGAAATTTAAGTAGAAGAGCCACATCCTAAAGAGTCTCTTCTATATGAATATATATTTATATATTCATATATATTATCTGTGAATTATGTATACTGTATACTTCATATGCATGTAGTTTTCTTCATAAAGATTTCACAAAAGTAATATGAGCTAGCTAGCTGCAGTTATTTCAATTTTGCAGGTGGAAAATGGGATCACTTTCAGAGTTGTGTTGTGGCAAGTTAGAAGGAGAGGAAATAGGGATTCTGCTGTCAAGCTTCACTCTGAGGGGACAATCTTTCCTGTAAAGAGCAGGCAGCATGTCTTTGTCCATAGGAGAAGAACCCTGTGTCCCATCAAGTTGTTATTACTGTTTTTTTTAAAAAACTAAAAATGACCTGTGTTTCCATATAGGTTCTGATGGGAAGAGTACCTGACCGTGGAGGCAGACCAACAGAGATTGAACCACCTCCTCCCGAAATGCCTCCTTGGCAAAAAAGACAAGAAGGTGGTGGAAGAGGTGGCTGGGGAGGAGGTGGTGGTGGTGGAAGGGGCAACTGGGGGGGTGGAGGGGGTAGAGGAGGAGGTGGTGGTGGTGGTGGTGGTTTTGGAGGTGGAGGTTTTAGAGGTGGTGGAAGAGGTGGAGGTGGCTTCCAAGGTGGCAGGGGAGATTACGGTGGCAGGGGAGGCTATGGTGGCAGGGGAGGCTATGGTGATCCATATGGTGGAAGAGGAGGGGGAGGATACCGAAGATACTAAAATACTGTAAATATTAACAGAGTAACTGGCAAAAAATAGTGGTGGTGTTTACTGGTATCAGGAATTTAGATACGTTAACTTGGGTTTAGGTTAGAATTAGGTATAACCATATGGATCATTGCATTAGACCAAATGATGTCATTGAATTCTTTTAGTTAACTGAACAAAACTTTTATACTAAAATGTGATGACTAAAGTCCTTGTTTTTCGTACTGCTCATATGGTGTTTTTTAATATGTCATTTTATTTAAAATAAGCCTCAGAAAACTGAATAAAACCCTTTCTAAACAAGCCAAAAATATTATTTAATGTTCAGGCCTCTCTAATTATTGCATGTTGCATGTTGACTCCCCTGCTCCAAAATGCTGTGTAGAAAGAACAAAATAGGCCTGAGAACCAGATGGAAAAACTTTTAAAAGACTAGAATGCTGCTTTCAGACTTTTCATCGAGTTTTCACATGGGACGTGTAAACGAATTTTAATGTCAGATGTTAAAATCCTTAAGGCTTTGGTCAAATTACTCAATTAGGTTTCTTACTCTTCCAGAACTTCACATAAAAGTAACATTCTGAATTTAATACTGTACAGAAACGAATATAATCAGGTTGGTTTGTGTTTTCATAAATATCTCGGAGACTATTTTAAGGTCAGAGCATGTACTGTAAACTGAGAATCATGGTGAGTTTTGACAGTGTCTATTTTCATTTTACCTGTTTTCCATTTTATTGGTGTTTCATAAAAAAAAAAAAAAATTAAGATCAGATTGGGCAGGAAACTTCTGCAGCCATCATGTCTGGTAAGAGTTCATTTATATATTCCTTCTGAATCAGCCTTGAGATATAGAGGTCGAGTAAGCTGAGCTTCTTGAGAAAGAATATACCGTTGGTTTTTTTTTTTCTCCTTTCCTCCTCTGCCTGCTCTATGTTTGGGAATCACCAACTGCCCAGCTAGTAAGACGTCTCATACAGCAGTTGCCCTTCCTCAGTAACTTCTCCCTCTCTTACTCAGCCAACCAATTGGTCTGATAACCTAAAAGACAAACTGTCTTGATATGGTACGGGTGTCTTCTTCACAGTGTTAGTCTCGAAGAAGGAGTTAGCTTTTGTACAATTATTGCTGTAAAGACTCATAGACAAGAATTAAATTTAGAGCTGTCAGTTAAAGGTGGCAGTTTCTATTGTCCAGCATCTTTTAGATCTCCTCCCCTGCTGTGAAGCCACTCCAGTACAGAGGTGGAACAGGGAGATGATGCCCCAATATGTACTTGTGACAGTATTTATCAGGGTCAGGTTACCACAGATTTGGGAAGGCAGCTGATAAACCTGGGGGTGTCTGTTGATTGCATAGCGCAGAAACCTTGAAACACTTTAATTGACTATGTAGCTGTAGACTTAACTGCAGGTTGAACGTTGGGATTTGATTTTGGTTTTATGTTCCACAGTTATGAGTTCTTTCTGCACAGATTTCCTATTGGTGTCCATATTTGGTATGCTTTAAAGGTGTTATTTTATCTTCAGAAACATGTGCATCATGTCCTGTTTCATTGGCAGCTTTATGCATGGATGTAAAGTGCTGTTCAAAATCAAATCATTATCTCTTTCAAAAGCCTGTGTCAGATTTTATTAATTAGCCATCACCAACCTTTTCATTTAAAATTTTAATCCAGATAAACTTCAGAAGTTTCTCTGCTGTTGTTTCCTCTCTGATCATAGTCTGCTTGAGAATGCTGCTTGTGATGTGATGGATACAGCCTTAGCCATACTTTAGGGTCCCAGCAGGTCCCTAACAAAAAAGGGCAGTTTCCCTTGCTTGGACATGTTAGCTTGGATGTGAACTCTTGAAATTATGGCTCAGCTTCACCCAACTACTAGCAATATAGTTCCTTTGCCTATTTTTTTTCTAACACTCCTTTCTGGCCTAAGCTGTTGTCACCCTCTGCAGTCATTATGGAGAGACCCTCATGGATCACATGGGAGCGTAGCACTGGTTTTCTTGCTTTTGAGCTTGGGTTTTGCCTAATGTTCTGGAATGGCTCACAAATTGATCCAAGTGGGACCACTGGCCTTGGAGGTGAAGTGTCGGTCAGCAAAGGGACGGAGAGTAGTTTTTAACAACCAAAGCCTTAATAGAAAATTCCGTTTGCTCATCCCAATGCTATTTCTTGCTACAAGTAATTTCTGAACAGCAGTCGCGCATTTAGCTTCACCAGGGAAATACGCTAGGAAAATTAAATGGCTTACCCATGCATAAAGATGTCATCAGTTGCGAAGATGCGAAGTTGCACTGGTTTAGTTGAGCTGTTGTGACTGTGCATGTGGCTGTGCCTTGGTGCTTTGACACTCATCAGTGTACCCTGTTTGTAGCAGGCAGGACAGTTCGGAATGAAGTAAACCATCGCGTGAACCACCTGTGTGCCCACGTGTAATTCTAACAGTTAAATTATTTCACTATCATGTTTCAATTATATTTAAGTAGACCATTGCAAAAGATGAAAATTTAAATAGGTTGGAGGTTTTGGTTTTTAACCTGGCCATTTCAGTTTTTCTTAACTAATTCTAAAATGTGAAGCCAGTAGTTGAGCACTAAAGTAAGCACCACCACCTTTCATAGAGGTAGCTTTTTCTGTCCTCTGTTGTCAGAATGTATGCTTTTCATTTAGCAAAAGATGCAATAATACCATGAAAACAATTGATTTAAACTTCTCAAATTTTGTATGGTTGTCTTGAAAAAAAGTATTTTCTGTTGTAAGTAAAAGACTTTCATATATGTGTTTGTGAACATTTTTCTGTGTTTATCCACACTTAGTGACTATCTACCTGAATAGTGTTTAGTTTGATCAAGAATTGAAAAATAGGTTGGGTTTTTTTCAGGATTTGAGAGAGACTTTTGTTATGAAACAGCTGTAAACACTAAGGAATAAAGTACTGTATTTGAAGTTACTTGCATCACTTGTGTAGTGTGATTGTAAGGAAGAATTCCCACTGGCAATTTACAATAGTGATGAAACTGACTTTCTATGGTAATGAAAAATAACCAATATATTTTGACCAAAATGGAGAAGACTGTAGATAATATATGAAAATATCAAGAGACAGGGCATGTCACAAATGTATCTCTATTACACTGTTTGGGATTACTAAGGAATATCAGTTAAAGTTTCTCTTGGTAAAAAAAAAAAAAATTACATGGGTCTATATGATCATTACTTTTGTCTTTATTTAAACTAAGGAAATATCCTCTAATTACTTCTGAAGATGTCTTTTTTTTTTTTTTTTTAATTTCTACAATTATGAAGTAAAGCACATCTTGTTTTGTATGTGCAAGACTGTAGAGCAGATTTGCCCATATAAACAGGAATTGTGTTTTCAGTAGTTAGTGTGCATTCCTTGTCTTCTTCCCTCACCTCCCTTGGATGATGGAAGATAACTGAATGGATGTTCATTCCCCCATATAAAAACATAGTTGAGAGAAGGTATTTTGAGGTTTACTACAAGGTAAAGAAGAGCAAATCTTCAGGGTGCTACAATGCTGCCTGTGTAATAGCCAGCATTTGCAGACACTGTAGAAGCCTTGTTTAAATTTAGCTATGATGCTGTGAAATCTTTTCAGAATTGGTGTTCTTAACGAAAGCGAGACTCTGCTAATGAAGAATTGCGCTTTGTAATACTCGGAATGGTGAGTAGCAAAACAGTGTCTGTGCTGTGTCAACCCCTAAAATAGCAAAAGACTAATCTGCGAAGACCTGGCTGCCCAAGTTTTCTCAGGCAACCTTCCAAGGCTCACAGAGGTGAAGCTAGACTAGGGATGCTGGCACTAGATTAATCCTGCAGAAGCATCTCAGATGACAGAGTCAAGGAAGATGAATATAGCTTGTTTAGATTTCTTTGAGATACAAACACAGAGGCGTATAGTGCAATTTTAATATCTTTTTCTATTATAAATATTAAACCAAAATCTTACAATTTATATAAAATCTTTACAATCTGTACACTTTCTCCATCTTCTCAAACAGCATTAAAACAAATATTTTTCAAGTTGCCACAGAGATCAGTTACAACAAACTAGCAGATTGCTACTGTAACAAAAAAAGATACTTCCAAAAACATATATATAAGCTACTTTCAAGGCAGTTGTGTTTAATCAGAATATGAACAGTAGCCCTGCCTTGTTAATTGTTATGTTACTCAGTCTAATTTTATCTTTAAATTATCAGAATTCACACTTTAAAAATAAACAGTAGTTGGGGTGGGCACTTGTTTTTTCTTCCTTCCTGTAGGTACATGAAACAGCTGAGCCCGGAAAAGGTCTAAAGATGTGAGTGCTTTTCAATTAGCCGTGACAAGATAAATTTCAATATCAGTGTTTGCTACCATGACTTTTAAAACAGCACTTAGTACTTCAATTGTGTCTTCTTTTCCTAGCGTCAAACAGCTTGAAGATTAATACAGATGGGATTTTTGTTCAGTAGCTTTGTCAGTTTCAGCAGTATCCCAGTAAGGTCAGTTTCTGCTATTAGTCTTTCATGCTGCAAAAAGGACATAAGAAGGGACTACCACCATAACAAACAAACAAAACAACTGTAAGGGGCTTTGGGCAAACAGAGAACCTGAAGGTAGTTGGAGAACTCTGAAATTCTCCCAGGTATCAACTGACCTAAAGTGGGAAGTTTTTAGCATACATGAAGCACCACACACTCGTTCTGTAAGACGTTCCTGCAAACAGATCCCTTTTAAATCATTCCGATTGTTTATAAGAACAAGACAACAACACAGAGGAACATTAAGTTAGCATTTAACACTGTACAAATCTATGGTCATAACTCAGTTTTGAGTACTAAGTACTTAAATTTAGTACGCACTAACCTAGTAATAGCCTTTGGGCCAGCTGCTGACATCAGGGCATTTTTCTTTCTAAAGTAAGAGTTCACAATTTCCACACCCCAGAGTAGACAGAGTATATGCATACACACAAATTCTATTAGAAGCCAGAGTTTAGACCACAAGCAAGCAGTTACCTTAGGTGCACAATAAGATTTATCAGTCTTAGCTGCTCTTTTTGGGGGTATTTTCGAAATGCGTGAAAATATATTTGACATTTATCTTGTTTATTTTAATTGTTGCAGAAACAGACTTCCATTTGCTAAATGCCTGTTAGAAATACGCCTTGCTCTTGTTCCCTGACTAGAGGACAAAAATCAAGCAGCTTACAGAAAATGCGCAAAGCAAGTTTGCAGACGTGACCTGAAAGCCATTTTGATTGCTTCATTGCTCAAAGTGCAATTCCATGTTAATTGTTAATAATTCAGGTTTAGTGTATGAGAAACAAAAGCTGCACAGTCTTTACGGCTGCTGGGTTTTGTCTCACGCATTTCAGTTCTTTACACAGCAAATGTATTTACAGTAAGGTAACAGAAAATCTACTATTTCCCTCCATTTATTTTTACTTAGACATGGAGATGCAAGCACAATCCAAGTTTAAAACAAGAATTTAGAATCACTAACTTGGCAAATAGTTTTAAATAGACTTTTTTGTTATAAATAAGGCATTCACATACTTGATAATGACTGTAAATCATGAATGGAACATACATTTATACCACTTTGAACACAAAGCACACATGCTATTGTAATGGGTTGACTAAATTTCAGTCTGTAATGCACTTTATAAACTAAGTTACAAGTTTTGAGGAGCACTAAATGCACTTTGTAAATAAATGTATCAATGTTATAAGTTTCTGATGTTTAAATGTGTGATGACAAATCCCTCTGATAAATGCAAGCAAGTCTTATACAACTGTAAGTGTACAGATTTGCTTGGAATGCAAATGCAATTTTAAAATTGGCTATTCTGACAAGTCGATTTCTCAGTAATTTGAAAGACTGTTCCGTTGTCACTTAACAATACGTACACTTTGTAGCTTTAAAAAAACTAAGTTACCTCCCTAGCACCTTGTACTGTACAAAATTTACACATGTAAGAGCACACTCATCTTGACTCTTTACCTAAAGTGCATGTGAAATCTAGGAGACAGAAAAATGGAGAAACCTTGGTTAGAACCAGAAGGTGTTAGAAGCTGTGGAATACAGGAGCTGTTGCACTGGGATTACTGTACAGTTTCCCTCATAATATGGCCCTTGAGGTTCTACTCAACAACGATGCCCACTCTGACATGCGAGAAAATTAATCAGCTTTGTCCCATATCTACTGTATGTGGACAGCAAGATGTCCCTTAAGCCAAATAAGCAGGGCCAAGTGTTCCAAGCTGTAGCACGGAACACAAAAATGTAAGCAGTATGCAATGTAAACTCTCCATAGGCTCATCTCTTTTACCTTACTCAAAGGTCAGTGTTTGAGCAGCAGGACTTCTGAAGCCCTGAAAAAGGTTTAGAAAAATTTTGTCAGTTTATGCTAACAAAGTCTAAGAATGAAATAATCAAATATTAGCTTAACTACTTATTTTAATATTTGTGTTAAACTTTAGAAATAAAGATGACAGTTCACTTAATGATTTTAGTTGGTTTCAGCCACAATGAGAAGGAACTGTTTCTCTTCATGGAATACTTCTACAGTTTTACTTAAATACTCAGCTTTATCCAACGTTTGTTTCTACAAACCTGAATTTGGGACAAATGTGTGGTGACAGAGTCCTACGAATAGCTACTTTGTCAGAACACTTGTAGAGTAAGGTGTGCTGCTGGCAGCCACGTCACTGCGGAATCCACGTGGTCTTCGTCATGACCAGAAACTTCAGCAACAGTGTCACTCCATTTAAAAGCAAACCCAGAAGATACTATTTTCATTGCACAGATAATGCTAAATTACCTTAAAAAGGCAAAGGAATGGATTTATACATTTGGGAGTGCATGTTTAATATGGAAATGTGTTGAGTAAAGAGACTATTTCTAACATCCTTCAGACTGTCTCTCCAGTTCAGTCGGTAAAGCAGCTTTATCACAACCCCTCCTCCAGTCTTACATTCTTCCATAGGAGACCTCTCTTGGCTGCTAGGAGCAGTCTCTGTGTTGTAGGTTGTCGACTACATGGTTTCTTCTCTGGATTGTGAGAGATTCGATTGTTTTATGTGCCTGTTCCAGCTGGATCTTTAAACCTTCATTGTCTGCCTTTAGAATGTTTCTTTCCTAAACAAACAAACAAAAATATAGAGAATAGTATTTTATTTTGAATTTGTTTCAGGACTGTCTGGTTGTATGTTTAGGTTGACTGGCATAAAAGTAAGTTGGTGTAGCTCTTGTCAATGGAACAGAACATAACTTATTTAAATGTTTCCATAGTCACTGGTGTATCCTTTGTGCATACTCTTAAAACTTACCAGCAGCTGGTATCTGACAGTGGTGTTCACGACCTGCATTTATCCACCCTCCACTGCTCCCCTCACAACAGCAGTAATGTAGGGGAAACAAGAACATAGCTCACACTTTACTGCTCTACTAATGCAGAAATTGATGTACAATAATCATAGAATCATAGGATGGTTTGGATTGGAAGGGACGGGGAAGATCATCTAATTCCACCCCCCCTGCCATGGGCAGGGACACCTTCCACTACACTAGGCTGCTCAAAGCCCCATCGAGTCTGGCCTTCAGCACTTCTAGGGATGGGGCCCCTACAACTTCCCTGGGCAGCCTGTTCCAGTGCCTCACCACCCTCAGAGTGAAAAATTTCTTCCTAATACCTAATCTAAATCTCCCCTCTTCCAGTTTGAAACTATTACCTCTCGTCCTATCACTACATGCTCTTGTAAAACGTCCCTCTCCAGCTATCTTGTAGGCCCCCTTCAGATACTGGAAGGTCACTATAAGGTCTCCCCAGAGCCTTCCCTTCTCCAGGCTGAACAACCTCAACCCTGTCAGCCTGTCTTCGTAGGCGAGGTGCTCCAGCCCGCTGATCATCTTCGTGGCCCTCCTCTGGACTCCCTCAAACAGGTCTATGTCCTTATGTTGGGAGCTTCAGAGCTGGATGCAGTACTCCAGGTGGTGTCTCACAAGGCCAGATTCAGGGCTATGTTACTTGTTTTACGGAGTAACATCCTGTCCTAAGTGACTGGATTATGTTCACTTTCTTGCCTGTCACTTTGAAGACTGACATCGATCAGTGTAATCACAAGAAAAGCTTCAAATTTTATTCCCTAAACCCTGTACTAGTACTACAATTGATGCTCGAAGCATTGCTGGAGTTGAAGCAGCTAAGAATTTATGATGCCACTCGTGGATTGTTCTGGCAATTAATTACACTGGAGTAACACGTCACCTTCCCACCCAGCCACTCCCCCACACCCTCCAACCACTTTACAGTACTGTTGTGTAAAACAGAATTCATTTCATCATGTATGTACCTGCTCAAGTTCCTGGTATGAGGGTTTACAGCTGTGATGCTCCTCCTTCATTTTCTGGCTGGAGTCCTTGTTTTCCCATTTAACATATGCCTTTTTGCGGCCTAGAATTGGGCTTGGACATGGGGATGGTGGGGCTGGCTGGAGATAAGGATTTTCTGGCATCTTATGTTCTTTTTTCTCTGTCAGCCTACGAGATACATCACCAGCCAGGAGTACTGTATCAGTCTGTATACCTTTATGAACCACAGCTGGTTTCAGTCTCACTGAGATTTTCTGAGCTGAGGAACCCATGAGCATAATGGTTCGGTCCTTGCTGTCTTCATTGTGTTCCACTACTTCTCCATTAGGAAATGTGAATGGTCCTTCGTCTTGTCCTGTAGAATATATATGGTAAATTGAGTCTAGATCTTATCCCAGGGAAGGAGAAGCAGGAGGCACAGTAATTAAACATGATTTTCATAACTAAACCAACATTTATTCTTTATTGATTTTGCATTCGTTGCTCTCCAAAATAGGTGTCACTGGAAGATTCTCAATGTTGCGTCTCTTGGAACACCTCTTTGCCCTGTCTCAGTAGCATAAATATGGATCAGTAAGAGGAAAGCAGGTGTACCATAAAGGTCGGCTAGAGAAAAACCTCTCGATAGTTAAAGGTTTTTATATAGACCATTGATCTTGGTGATAGGGCTGGAAGATTAAACCTGGGTGTTAGTTCAACATTATGACAACTTGCAGCTCTAAGATACAACTTAATTTCATCCATTTTATAAAGGTGAAATAATGACATTTTAAATTTTACACTGCTTTTGTACAGGTCATCCTAAACTACTTTTACTTTTGGAGTTCAAAGTAAAAACTGAGGGAGGGCAGGAAAAAAACCACAATGTTAGAAGCAGTGGGCAAAAGATGTGATTAAAGGATTTAAAAAGACCTGTTTCACATAAAGTAATTTCTGTTGTTGGGAAGAAAACAAAATGAGACTGCATGTTCAAACACATGAGGAGAAGGAACAAAGTCAGTCCAGTAGCTGCTGCAGGCTCTAGAGAATTAAATGAAGATATGGATGAAGAGATGAGGCTTACACCTTCAACCTAGACCCGTATTCTCATTCTTCAACATGACGTAGTGTTGGGAGGTACCACATTCTGGTGCACTGGTTGATGATGGGGCAACACGCTACAGTTCAATCTCTAAGCGTGACGTCCCACGAGGTGGTGGTTATGCAGCACTGCAAGCCATTGCGGGTGCAATCATAGAGATGCACGTGGTCAGTTATCAAGAGAAATTGGCTGCATTGTGTTCCAGATAAGTGCTAACAGGAAGCCTAAGGGGAAATCCAGCAGTATGAATCTTAAATACAATGCAAAAAAAAAAATGATATCAAAGTAGCGATGAGTAGATTTGAAGAACATTAGATACAGGCAAAGAACAGGACAGAAATGCAATGACAGTAAGCATGGAGAGAGCTGGAACATCAAAATCAAAAGAAAAACAAAAGCAGCCTGAAGTCTTATTCAAGGACAATACTTCCTCCTTTGGAGACCTACATGGTAATACACAATAAGAAAAGTTGTTTGATATAAGGAGAAAAGAACAGAGGGGTGTAGATTTTCCATTTCTGATGAAATGAAAGATGGAGTGATGCAGAGGAGTTTTAGATTCAGCTACTGAAGCAGAAAAAAATAAACACAATCATCTGATGGTTTTCCTAGCACACAGATACGTACGTAAACTGACTTTATAAACTGCACGTGGAAATCTGAGAACTGTAACAGTGCAGTAGTTGCTTAACGTGACAACAGTGGTAAAAACTGGAGCATGCCAAGACCTGCTTGTCACAGGTGAGAGAGTTAAGAGAACCTGACAGCTGTTCAGTTCGTGGCATGTAGTTCTCCTGAGAGTCTGGCAGAAGATTTACTCAGTTTTTGTGGAATTTGTGCACCACACGTTGTGTAGTGTGAGAAGAGATCTCCCAGAAAGGGAGTCCTTATTTATTCAGACTAGCACTGGAATGGTGTTACTTGGTACAGGCTCATGCCTGGTTCTAGTTTATATGTTGATAAAACACTGCAGTTGACTAACAAAACCTAAAACGATGCTGCACAACTAGCTTTAAAAGAAAAAGGAGCAAATGAAAGATAAAAAGATCAAAAGATCTAGATAAACGTGGTCTTTTCTCACCATGGAATTGCTCTTTGACTCCCATGGGGCAGAGGCTTGAAGCAAGAGCAGATGTTGGGCTGCTCTCTGCAACCAAAGTTTTGGGTCTTCTCTTGCACTCTATCACCACCAGATCTTTGCATTGCTTGTGACAGTTCATTCCACAGTCTGTAAATAAAACAAAGTTTACACGACTCAGTAGCACCTATGATCAGCCTATCCCACTGTGCTGCCTCCCCAGAAAGCAAGAGTGAGTCTCTACGTGCATTACCTGTAACAACATACATCTGGTAAACAGACCAACATCTCTTTGCTATATACACCAAAAACCCTTTTTCATTGTGAAAATACAAAATAGCAACAATCAGTCGCAACAGCGTTGTGACCGTAAAAGCTACAGAGAAAGCAGACACCTGTATGAGGAAGAAAAGTCCAATATACATATTGTGAACGTGCTCAGTTTTCACAGGGCATTGGTGTTTACACCCACTGGAATAGAAGGGTCTTTTCCCAAACCCTCCAAATTCAATGATGTTTTGCAAAGAGTTAGAGCTATCGGTTACAAGTTCCTTCGTCTTTGCATTTCTTCTGGACCATCTGTCTGTCATATTATTCTTCAATTAGTCTTCTCCTCCCTGAGAGGTCAAATAGGTCCATAGACATAGCAATAGATCTCAGGATGATCAGATGGGTTTTTTTTCGTTCACCATCAATTATAGATTAAAATTAACAAAGTATAAAGTACCTTACCTTTGCATCTGTATCCTTGTTTAATGACTCCCCATAGCTGAAATTCAAACAAAAGACTATGTATTAATGTATCTCTCTGCACGTTTGAAACCTCCAGATATAAAAATCCACTTAAAGTTCCACTCATTTCTAAGATCTGAACAGCTGCAGAATATCTTGGTTTTCTACCCTTTTAATGGTAAGGTCAAAATAGGAACTATTTACCTCTTTAGCATAAGGTAAAGAGAATACTTTAAGTGCATTCCTCAATTACAAACAAAACAAATTTAAGCTAGTCTCTAATGAATGCATCAGCAGATCTGACAGCCCCCAGAGGAGCTGTGGAGCTGGAGTAGATGAATAGTTCCATCTCAGCAGCCTTGTTTGATGCCAGCTAAATTGGGGATTGGTAGGACAGTCAGTTTTCCTAAATCTTTCTGTGCCACAGGCAGGGGGCAGGTCACGTTTGTACCAGGACATGAGTTCTAACAGCCCCACGGAGTGGAAGGCACTGGATTTGGAAGCCTTGCCTAAGACTGTGTTTGGTGACACAACCGAACACTACAAGGTAGGAGCCATGTTTAAACAGGTAACAGTACTGCTGAGAGGGGTGTAAAGGATACCTTAAATAGCTACACAGGCAGAAGCCCGGTGTTCTATATAGCTTCACTAGTGTTTTATATAGATCCATTTCTGTATATGACGCATGGTGATTATGAGATTAAAAAAGGCATTATTCTAAACAACATTAACATAATTTACTAAAAAGTAAGCTTACAAATCCAGCACAGTTGTCGCAGAAAGTAGGCCTTAAGTAAGTGGTCTCTTGGAAGTTATGAGCAAAGCCAAGTCCTAATTTGGAATAGATTGAGCTAGCCCTCATAAAGTAAGCTGTTATTTCATCCCTGCTAATCAGACCTTCCCTGAAAATAAAGAAGAAAAGTTGTTTGTGAGACATACATTTTCTTAAAAGCATAAGGAGAATTATTACAGTGATCTCAATAATCTCGTCACCTCCTCCCAAAGTCTACTGAAGCTTATCTACACATTTAAAATGCTGCCTGTAAGGGTAAACAAAATATCTGCATACGTGATGCAACCTCAAAACTACTTCATAGAAAACCTCTGAATAATCACTAATGTATTTTTCCATGCTTTAATATGTCAAGAAAAATGTTCTTAATTTGACCAAAATATACATTTGCCAATTCTCTATTTTTGAGGGACAGGTTAATCTTAAAAAAGTTCTTTAACAGTATATACCGAATATCATTAGAAAAAGAATTTTTTTTTTTTTTTATTATCTGTTCTTCCTCCTACATCAGCCTGGTTACCACTGCTCTAAGTTCATGAAGATGTCATTCACACTACATTTAGAAGATGCTTTTGTCAGTTATGTTTTCACTTCTATTTGTGGGTGAAGAGGGTGATTTTCCCACCCTAATGATAGAAATCAGATTTAAAAACAAGAACCCCCAAACCCTCCCAAAACAGATGCTACAAAGTTGATAAGCAGAACTCAGTACTCACCAGTCCTTAGCCATTACACAAAATGAGAAGGGAAAACTGGCGGCTATCTTTTCAAATTCTTCCTGGGAAATGTATCCATCCTGATCATGGTCATAATTTTTGAAGACAGACTGTTCAAGATAATAGTTTAAGTAGAATCGTTTATAATGTGGATGGGCTGAATTACTACTTTAGAAAGTCTCCACAAGATTTATGGATTTCCTCTCTCACTTTCTTCCAGTATCTATTAAACAGTGCAACAGTCTAACTGCTTTTGAGACTAAAGCAGCATCATGATTTCTGGATTTGTAGCAAAATGTAAATATGTAAACATAGGCTGGACTAAACGCTTCACTACACAGTGACAGCTCTTTTTTAGTTTCACTTTAAGATCATTATGTTCAGGCCTACATATACAATTAGTGCTGTCAGTGATGATCTCTGTAGCCAATCAGTGTAGCTGCCTAGCTTATTTTATCAGGCCAATGTTACGTGAAAAGTAACTATATGAAATTGTCATGTAGACACCCGTTTCCACTTGTGGAATGACCTTACTGTTTGTCTCTGGCGCTAAGGCAAGGAGCACACCTAGGCCAAATTTAGAAATATATTCCAAACCAGCGTGTATCAAAGGATACCTAGCCATATTAGAAGTGTTTAGAAGGAAAAGAGATGAAGCAAGGATGCAAAGACGAACTCTCTGCCTCTCTCTGTCAGTTTTGGAATCAATCACCCGAGCTTACTTGATGGTTTCCAGTAAAGTGGGTGACCCAAAAAAGAGAGAGACAGAGCAATGGCTGCTAGCAACAAAGCCGTTGAGAGGCCCACTTTCAGACTCCACCAATAACCTGATGCTGGAGTCCCTGGTAGAAACGGACTCCCTGGCTCCTTGGAAGAATGGAAGCGTACAAACCAGCATTCACACTCCCTGCTGGCTCCTCAGCCATTTAAGGAATTTCCTTCCGTACCTCACGGGCCGCTGCTGCTATTTACAGCTAGGCAGAAATATTTCTTTGTGAGGACAGAGGTGCTCACATACTCAGCACAGCTTTGAATGCGTCCAGTATTTTTTCACTTCTTTGTATCTTCTCCTACCTAGAGATTAAAGCTACCACTGGTATGTAAGGTAAATGGGCCAACCATACTTACATCTACCATCCTCTGAACATGCTTGCTGACAGTTTTTGGATCAGGTTTTGGGGCTACTCCTGAGGCCCAGTCTACAACTACTGGTGGTCTGGAAGGTGTCAAAGGCTAGAATATATTGAATGGAACTTCATTAGTACCACATGGGAAGATTTTCAGTATTACACTTCTTTTATTTGTGACAATGGACAACATGAGACAGGACTTCAAGAAATGGCCTGTTGGACCCAACACCATACTTTTGATAATTATATGGTACTTCAGAGGAAGCTCTTCCCTGAAGTGTCCAAAATAGTGGTCGTTCCTAAATTGCCACAGTTGACTGACAACCCTGTAAATTCACTGTGTTTTCCATATTTATAAAACAGGGACAAAACTATGATATAATACCCATGGGTTTCATCATTTGAATCACATAAGAATTCTTCATTTAAAAGAATCAGTATAAATTGCCAAGACAGAGCCTGTTGTCATGTCTCTACACAAGTAACTTCATTTGGGTTTGTGTCCATATTACAAAACCTGGTACGGTGTCAACTCTCCCATATATTCTAGCTTAGGCTTCATCATCAACAATTTACGCTTTAACAGATTTTGCTCAGTCTATAAAGCTAAAATGTTTCCAATTTAGCATACAATAAAATAAAATGAATGCAAGGGATAAAAGCTACATTACTCATACAAAAAAAAAAAAATCTTTTTGTTAAGAATCTGGAAAGGCCCTTACAGCAGCTCGGTGACTTCGAGGCTCTCGTGCATAGGAAAGCTCATAAATTTCATCTTCTGTGTAGTAAAGATCAAGAGACAACTGAAAACAAACACAACATTGGTTTAATCCCACAACAGTCACTACTACTTGATAAACTTGTTCCTGGCATGCATTAGGACTTTTTGGTGGATTAATTTTTAATTTAGGTTGCACCTAGAAAAAATGCACTTGACCGGCACAGGTGTTCACAGTGATTTGAAAAGGGTACACTTCTAAATTCCAGACTGTTATTGCCATTATCTGGAAATCTGTAACATTACACAGCTAAACTCATTAGCACAGCAAGTGACTGCAGGCATAATTAGCACTCAGTTAATAAGTAACCTGAAAAAAACTGTTACTTCCATAATATTCAAGTTGTCTATTGTGCAACTAAGCATAAAAGCACCATTCCAATCAAACTGTCCATCAACTCAAATTCTCAGAAAACTCAAGTTGGAAAACATCGGGGAACAAACAGAAAAATTATGCACCCTGGAACATTAGCAGATTAACAGTTCCTGCTTCGAAATGAAGGATTTGTTTTAATTTACGTTCTGTCATATACAGCTGCATGAAATGTGGCCAAAGTTCCATTTTTATAAAACGTTATTAAAAAAAAAAAAAAGTGGGGGGGACTTAAAATAATTTGAGACAAAACATTTAAAACACTTAGCAGGAGAAAATTCACCACTTTATGTAGCTCTATTTCAGGCCTTGGGCATATGTGCTTAATTTCACACACGAGTGCTCCCAGAGAGAACAAATAACCTCAACCACATAAGCATTTTTATCTATTAGCTTTTTGCTGAAACAGGCCTCGTAACCAGGAAGTGGAAGCAGCCTATCTAGTTTTTCCAAGCTGAGGTACTTGTTAAGGCCAAACAAAACTGAGAAACAAGAAAGGTACATTTACCATTTTAAGAAAAGGTAGTATTTTGACTTACTAGGAGAAGCTAAAACGATTGTTGTGACATACGTGCTAGGGACTATCAATTTTGTTAGTAACATGGCACTGACTAGATATCACTTGGAGAGTAATACAACACTATTATTTGACTAACATTTATGTCAGACAGTTTTTTTTAGTACCAGAAGAAACTTGGCTAGAAATGTGGTATGTTTAACCCTACACATCTTGAGGGACTGAACTTTGGGAGTGTGCGTGTTCAACACAAGGAAGCTTTGCATGCAATCTTCTGCCTCCAAGGTGCATCTAAGGAAGCTTTCTACCTTTCTACCTTAATCAGCAGCGGATTCAGAGCACTTCCTTAGTGAAAGTACAGACAGGATGCATACTACTATAGCAAAGCAGAAATAAACATTTCCTTACCTTATAGAAATAATTGGAAGCATACTGCTAAACTGGCACCCCCTACCCTTGCTGCCAAATAAATCACTATCACTAACTTTTACACTTCTATTATTGTACGGTTCTTTCAGGAAAAAAATAATCTTACAATATTATGTATTTATAATTAATGGAATTCTCTACTTAGTTGTTTGAGAGCTACATGAAATTAGTTTTTTTAAATGGAGGTATTTATCTCATCTAACAGACTTACTGTAAGCAAATGAACAAGGTCCATGTTAGCCTCCAAGGGAAGTGGCATTTCCTGGAGTTGTATGAGCTCATTTATGTGGTTATACAGAGAGTATAGTTTATATATGTTAATTTTTTTGTCCTCTAAGTAGTCTGGCATGCCCTCATAAAGTGATATCAAGTCTTTCAGGTGGACCCCAAGGATTGGGATCTTAAAGTTACTGCACTCGTTATAGGCACGTCGGTAACTATCATAGTTTCTGTATGATGAAAGCAGTTCTGTCATTTCATTAAACACCTAAAAATAAAGAGAAAACAAAAAATCAAAACTAGTTACTGTTTTTGTTCTGGTCACACAGCACAAGAATTTCCCATATTATTGTTAAGGTGTTTACTCACAATGACTCTTGAAATGGATTTTAAAACCTTAGGCTTCAAATAAATTCTCGGTATTCACCTCACCTAATTTAACTATCTATAATGTGTAGTTAATCTATAGCCTAATCTGTAATGCTGTTCTACCTACATTCCCTATTAAGTCAATGAAAAGAAATAGGATCCTCTCAACAAGGGGATGTGTACACGGTTCATACTTAAGCACGGCACTTCTCTGGCTTCCAGGTCACCAGCTGGAATTGCTGGAATTGGAAAGTCCTGGCAGAGAAACCCTACGCTGTGCTATGGTCCCATCACAGTGTGACCAAAACTCCCACTACAGTTCAAGGTGGCACACGTGTGCTTTTAAGAAAACGTTTTTTGCATGGAAATGAAGAAGAAACAATATATTGGACTTGTTGTAAAGGCCAAAGGAATCTTAAGCCTAGCAGTAGAAATATTTCCCTTGTTTAAAACTATACAGGTACAAAGTTGACGCTTAACGTTATAAAATCAGTGGACCAATGTTTTCTTGTGGAAGTTTCTGTCTAACCACTTGATTTTTAACCTTCACAAACTGTTCGTTATAGTTGAAGTGTGTTCTCAAGTCACTAATTACCAGCCATCATTTATCTGCTTTATGTTAGTACTCGTATACAATTTCTTGATGCAAAAAGTTATTCAAATTATGGACACAGATGCAGTCCACTCCTCATGACAACATTTGTAAAACAACATGCTTCTAAAATAAGCTTGCTAACTGGTTTTATAGATCCCAAGAGCTGCAACTATTATCAGTGGGAGGTCATACTTCTGGTCTATGCTCCAGTTATGCATGGTTCATTCCAGCTGATGGCAATGCGATCAAAACAGGTTCATTAGATATCTATATAAAATCTTCTGGGCCCCAAACAAGGTAAAATAATAAAGCATATTAGTCTCTTAAGAAGCCATTTCATTGCTAAAAAAGTATTCTTTCCCTCACAGTTTTAGTAGTTGGAATCTCAGCAAAAAATATATTAATCTGTAATTCACAAGAATTTAATTGGAAATTACAACTGATTCCTGACATTCCACTGTATTATATAACATGTGTGTATTAGGGCTAAGTTTGTTCAAGTGTGAACTAGATAAAATCTGTCATAGGGAAAGATCAGAAACACAAAACCAGTCCTTTCAGTTTTAAACTCAAAGTGCGGAGCTCTGTGCTAGCAGTTCATACACTCAGCATGGTCACTGTTGCTATGGATGACAACAGTTTTGTTCTCAAATGTTCTGGGATCCAGTTCTCTGCTTTCATGTTTGAATGCTATTCTGTACTACTGCATATACATGAAAATGCAGCTTGTCATATCTGAGAAACTTTAGAGAAGCTATACAAATCCTGAAGAAAGGGGGGGGAGGTTGGAAGTGTAGGGGTAAATGGTGTCGTGGAGATGAAATGACAAAGAAAAACCCTCCAAAACGAAAGGAAGTCTTCCTTTTTCTCCTTTTTCTGTCTTTCCCTCCACCTTACCCAATAGAGTAAGGTTGTTTTTTTGTGTGTGCAATGACAAAAAAAGTTAAAGGTTATCTTATTTGTAAAACTTAGAGGAGCAATACCAACCTTAATTACATCATGAGGAACACATGAGCTTGTTTCCTTGAGTCTGGAGATGGAACTGTGACAGAGACCTCCTATCACTGCCATTAATGTATTGAAATTCTGCAGCTGGTGGAGCTTCTGTGTTGGCATACCAAAAAAAAAAAAAATAAAAAAATCAGTATTTATTCTTTAAAGGTTCAAGTTTTTCAGTATGTACATCCGAATTCTGCATTTCCTCTATTGTCTTCCTCTAAAGTCTTGCAAGTTTTGTGCCACTATCCATTTCACTTCATTCACTTTGGCAATGAGTTGTGATTTTACGGGGTGTAACATGTACTTATTCTACTGTTATTAAATCATGTATTAATTCGGCAGATACAGTAAGTCTTCAAAGTACTTCCTCAGTACTTCTCCCTCTTTCCACAGTCTACCACAACTAGGAAACACTGCCTATTATCTTGGTTATGACTGCAGTTTAATTAGTATGCAATGAATAGGACAATAGCTCTGCTTCTATCCAGTAAGGTGCATCTGGTAGAAAAGCTTCTAATTACGGCCAAAGACACGATAGTGGTTCACGCTTTGAAAGCTGCGCAGTCACAGCTTCGAATCTCACCAGCTGATTCAAAAGCAAGTCTAGTCTTTCAGTGAAAACAATTTCTTCAGAACGGGTACGAGAAAGTCACGGTGCCATGACACTGTAATCTCTGAACACTTGGTACAGAACTCCAGCATACACAAATCCGCATGCACTATGTGTGAACCAGGAGCCCAGTGCCAACGCTCCCAGCTGACCCCACAGTAGCAGCATGGGAAGAACAACTAAGGGGCTCTATCAGAGAAAGACAAAATAAAACACCACACATGTCAAAATTTAACTGACCTGTGCAACATGAATGAACTTGATGAACACTTCAGCCCGAAGCTGTGGTGTTGGTCTGCTGAGAACCATTAGCTGCACCCACTGAGAGATACCATTGCACAGAGCAATTGATCTTTCCATTGTTGGATTCTCCTTCACACAACTATTCACAATGTAGTTCTGATAATCTGAGAACTTTAACAAAACAAAAAAAAAGTGTAAATGAAAACTCACTACAGTTTCATATACTCATGATCTGTGTGCAGATACAAGTCTGCTTTTCAAGTGAAATATAGAAGATATATTTCACACCATAAATATCCATAAGACTGAAATCTCTCCTTTGTCAAACTTTTGTTCAGTTCAAAGCAGAAGGCTTCAACTAATTGAATCAACTGAAAGCACCTTTTTGGCATAATTTGTATCCCATTATTTGCATCATGTCTATCTCAGGAGCCCTGGCTCTTATAAACCCTGGGATGGGCAGAACTGGGGCTTTCCTCCCAGCCTCAGTGGCTCCATAGATACAATGAATCTCGGCTTCTACAGGGAACTTAGCGTAGTCTAGTAACTCAAGCATAGTTTAAGGAAGTCTAAGGAAGTTTAAGGAAGTGACATGTTCAGTTCATGTAGCTAGGGCACACTTCAGAATTAAGCTACATTAATACAAAAAACAAGTGCAATGAGATTAATGTAAAACTGAGATAAGACCATTAAGAATGAGGGCTACAGATTCCTTAATATTTTTAATACAGCTTGTGAGCTTCTCTTATTTAACCAAAGTGATCTGGAATTGTTCAGTACACATTGTATGTGACAAAGATTTTTTTTTTTTTAGCCATTCTTCCCATTAACATCAAAGAGAAGCAATCATTTGGTTTTGTTGATGCAATGTTTATCTATTCTCTTGACTTATCCATTAACAAGTACACACAAGAATTTGAATCATCAGAAAATGTGACATGGGATTTATACATCCACTCTTTACTATGACCACTAGTACTAACATCTTACCAAAAACATTCATAGCTGTAATAGACACATATTCCTTTCTTAGGGCCACAGGAATATGATGAATGGCATTGACCCTTAAGAAAAGGTCATAAATTGTCAGGCTGCTGTTTGTTTCTTGCTCTCCCTCTCTCACTTTCTCTCCACTTTTTAACTTTTCCCATCCATTTAGTAAGAGCTATTAACACTTTAAAAAGCAGATATGAACAGAAGATACCTCTGGATTTGTCCTCTTGTTAAAATAAAAATGGAAAAAACATTAACATTAATAAGTAGAGCTGTCTCTGAGATTACATAGTACTTACTTACAATTATTGTTTGAATTTTGAACCCCTGCCAGACTTGGCTGGATCTTAAAATTTAAGCAACTGCTCTACACAGATAGGTAATTCTTCAATATCTGACTACATAATTATGGACTTCATAGCAGTTTCAGTACAATTATGAATCAGTTTGATTAGTTTATATCTTGTTCTCAGCAGCGCTCTCCTTCAGAAAAGAATTTTTTTTAAATGCTGAACAAATTTGTATCTAATATACTACTTAAAGTTTCGAAATAATTTTGGTGCAAGAATTTATTCACGACATCAGCTGTAACAAGATTGTTAGTGGCAGATACGGTAAAGAACTGCAGGTACTTAAATAATGCAAGAACCTAGTATTGCAACGACAAACTTATGAGCCTCTACAGGAAAGCAGAATCCAGAGCCTCACAAAAGAGCGTAGCCTCCCTCTATTTTATAACGACAAATTAAAATGGTTTCCAAACATCAGCATACCTGCAGCCATTACCCTGTGAACACCACTCCCTGCATTTTTCTTTGCTGCAAGATACATGGTGTCTCATGGAAGATTTTGCTGTGTGCTCTATATATTCCAGGGATCAAGTATTCCTTTCTGACTTTCAAATGACTGAGCCTATGAATAGTTATTCCAGTGACTGACCACGGCAGGTCATTTGCAGCCTTTCTCCCAGTATATGCTGCCATGTTGGAATAACAAATGGATTCTGTGGCTCAGCATATCATGAATACATTCTGCGAAGAGTTAACGAATATAGCTATTTGTTAATTACACGTTATTTTCTGATCTGAGGTCTCGGTAAACTCAATTTATACCAAAACCTACACAGGGACCCTGCATATAATATGTATACAAGTATGTAACTGTTGGAACTCTATGACACTTCTGACACACTGACTGCAATCATACCTGTTATACTCATTAATCATTAATTACCTCATGTCTCCACAGAGCTTGAAAATGTTGAGTTATATAAGATTTGCCTATTATTACTGCCTACAGGCAGCAATCCGTGCATGACTTTGGTTCTATGGCGTTTTGAATTTAACACAAAACATGAAGAGTCATGTACTCAAAATAAAGTACACTAACACATGACTGAAATCTTCCACAATCTATTGAGAGCCCCTTTCCTTGCAAGACTTCAGCTTCAAATGTAGTGTTTTTAAAAAAACCCAAACCACTAAATTAACAACCAAAACAAACAAAAAAAAACCTAAAAACCCCACTTTGCTTTCTCTGTTGTCATCACACTGACTTTGCCACCATCTTAGGATTTTGGCCTCAAATGTTCATTTCTCTTTTCCATGTGTGAACTGTATCAAGTTTGAATAGAAGTAATGTTGTAGCATGCAAGGATGCAAGTGAAGCCAAGGTGCATAGGGAAGTTCGCATCTCATCAGCTACCAACATAGCTGAGAAAACAAATCAAATGGAAGAAAACAGAAATGAGACAAATCCTTATGAATTGTTTGTGTGCTTGAAAGCTTGTGTAATAAAATATTTTAAAGCCCCTTTACATTAAAAAATGTTATTTTCTCAAGCGCTTTTTTATCCCTAGTCTTTATTTTGTTAGGCACAATCAAAAATGGCAAGCAGAGTCCAGTGGACTTCTTCTATACAGACAGTCCATTAGTCACTGCACAAGAATGCTGCACAGCCACAGGAGGTTAGCATTCCAGGAGAATATTCCAAGTTTCCGTCGTCCCATTTCAGCCTGATTACTGATTTGAGCCAAAGGAGACTGCTTGTTCCTGTGCCCGATGACACCACTTGTTCTAACAAAAGGAGATTATTTGGAAGAAGATCAAATGGTTTACTCCTCTTCCTTCCAACTGACTTTGCCCCAACTCTGTTCCACAGTTGCTTAAAAGGTTCACTCTCCCTCTGTCAAATGACTGCAGCAAAAGGCTACGTACTCAGAATAAGTACCCCTGCCCACCTTCAGCACTAGTAAAACAGAGTCTGGACACACACTCAGCTTGTCCAACAGCGTGCACTGCAGGGTTAATCTTGTAATACTACCCCTCTCTCATCTTTTCTACATCCTTCCCATTTTTGTTTTAAACAAACAAATAAATAAATAAATAGAAATCACTTACTGATATTCTTCTGAAAGACTTGAATTCAAGATAGGTAAGGTGGTCTGACAGCTCCTCAGGCTCAAGGTGATCAAAAAGAAGCGAGACTTTCCGTTTCTTACTGGTGTTGGCCTTGACACGCTGCGTCAGCTTTCTAGACCAATCCCTAGAATTTCTTTTAGACACATTTTAAAACAGAATTACCCTGAGTTATTTTCTGAACAGCAAACTTTTCCTCTCCCTAATAGAAAAGTAACATAGTTTTCACGCCTTACCGCAACAAAAAGTGAATTAGTTGAATTTCTAAACAGCAAGCTCCCTTCAGGCATTAGAGATTACGACAAAACATTGTTAGCCTTTTTTATATTGATATAGCACATAAGTACAATACAACTATATTACTAAACAGCATAAGACTATATATTGCACTTCCAGAATTGCTGTCCATAACTTTGTCTTCATTGAATACATCCAGTGCTTCTCCATTTAATAATTCTTACAGATTTCCTCCACCAACCTCTGAGTATGAATTGTCCCCCAATGCTATTCACCCATGGAGTAATGAAATTTGATTGGATTTCAAAAACTAAATATCCTCTTTCACAACCAGATTTAAAACATATGCCAAATTCTGCTCTGCTTTTGCCTGTGCATTTCCAACCAAAGTATGAATTGACCGTGTTATACCATTCCACAGAACTATCTTACTCTTATACAACAAGGAAGGTTCTCTTCCCAAGAAAGAATTATGATGTGATGTATAGCTGTACAATTTATTCTTGACAGGACAAGTAATTTTATAACTAAAGTCACATAAAATAGTATCAAGAGTTTCACAGTGTAATAAACTATATCTTCTCATTTACCTTTGGTATTAAAAATATAAACACACTTTTTTTTACCTCACCTGTTACCCAATCAAAATGTATTCTCCTTTCTTATTGACTTCCAATGTTCTTTCAAAATCATCAGGCTTCTACAAATTTTCTACGCTCCCTGGATAGAGTAAAATTTATCTAGCATAGAGAATCAGCAGAAAGTCTACACAGCAGTTAAAGTCAACATAAGTCATTCTTGAAAGGCATTCTGTTCCTCTACATAATATATATTTGATCTACAATGATGTATAAGCTCTTCTAAGGATAGATAACACGTGACTTACTAAAGTTACTCCACTATAGGACTATTATCCTGCTATACTGGAGAGACATCATATTTGAATAAAGGAAATTCAGAGCAAAAGTTTGTTTTCCGAGCATATTGAGACTTTGGCACTCACATTTGAGTTGTGTCAATTAGACGACAGTGTAACTCCTCACCATTAGCTTTAACAAGTTCTTGAAATTCCTCCATAGTTGTGGATAGTTTAGAGTCCATTTTGAACATAACCCAGAACTCTGTAATCCAATACCTATTGCACATTGAGAATACAGAAACACAAAAATAAAGGTTTTGCTCTAACATCAGTAAGGCTGAAATTTAGATAGTTGCTCCTGTTTATGAGTTGTATTTCTTCTTGACGAGCTTTAGGGGATAAATCTTGCTTTTAGATGCTTTTGCTAGTCTACCTTGATTTCATCAAAAAATCAAAATTTCAAGGTTAAAAACAAATTCGAAACTACCTGGCTTAGTGCTGTATAGAACTATACTATATATATGTTTGCAATAAATTTGATTTTAAATTTTCTACTTCCACATTAAATCTACATAATATGCATGCTGATTTTTTTCTTCATGAACTTCTATATAATTTTATATATTCCTTTAGAACTTGAAATTATTTGGTCTGGACATAAAAAAAAATGCACTGCGCTAGTCAGAATTTTATCTATTATCTAAAGAAAAATGTACTAATTAAATATACTTAACAGTTTACAGGTGACAGTCTCTCATGCACAAAATATTTTCAGAGAATAACAGTTTTCTATGTTGGGCATTCAAATTGTTTCAGTCATATATTTTATATTTCAATTCCTATATGTGACTTGTCACCCATTGTGGTGGGTTGACCCTGGCCAGCAACTAAGTACCCACTCAGGTGCTCACTCACTCCTTCCCCCCCGTGGCAGAATAGGGGAAAGAATAGGAAGGGCAAAAGTGAGAAAAACGTGTGGGTCGAGATAAAGACAGTTTAATAACTGAACAAAAGAAAAAAGCCAACCAAACAAGTGATGCAAAGGCAATTATTCACCATCTCCCACAAGATACCCAGCCAGGATCCAAGCAACAGCTATTTTGGAATGACTACCCCCCAAGTTTTTATTGGTGAGCATGGTGCTATATGGCATGGAACACCCCTTTGGGCAATTCAGGTCAGCTGTCCTGGCTGTGTCCCCTCCCAACCCTGAGCTCATCCCCAGCCTACACTCTGCGGGGGCCGAGTGAGAAACAGAAAGTCTTGATGCTGTGCAATCACTGTTCAGCAAGGGCTAGAACGTTGGTGTGTTTTACTGACAGATGCCAAGCACAGCATCGCAGGGGCTGCTATGAAGAAAGTTAGCTCCACCTCAGCCTGACCCAGTCCACCCATGCATTTAAAAATCTGTGCTTGTTGGAAAAATGGTGATGCACATTCTTATGGATGCACGTATGTATGAATTTGCCTAGAAGCAAAAATGTTCCCAGATCACATATAATACCAAAGCGTTCTGACCTAACCAGTAATCTGCTTTGAGATAATAAAATCACAATTTAAAACAAATCTTACTTTCCTGTTACTACTTATTTCCCATTTTGTGTAACAAAGAGACATCATATGCTAATCTATTATCAGAGTTGCATCTTTTTTTCCTCTCCTGTTTTCTTTAAACTGAGATATCAAACTCTACTACACTTTAAAAAAAAAAAAAAAAAGCATTCTTATGTACGGCACATGGATCGCTGCAGGCTAATAGCTACCAAGCAAGAATATTCTTACCTCACAAAATAGCATATCTTTACACACAGCATGGAAGATTTATTTTCTAAAGCATTAAGATAGGTAGAAAACTGTTAAGGAAAACCACATCCATTCACATATGATATGAAATGCAATATGCTTGATACTTCCCTACCTGTAAGCAACAGGAATCATTCTACTGATGGCATATAATATCAGATTAGGGTTTTACACAAGTGTACACAAAGTATACTGCAAGATCGTTAACAAAAGTTTATTGTAAGTACGACTACTATGAGTAATACTGATGTAGCCGCCCAAGTACTGAGTAGTGTTAAGTAGTGAAATGATTCTGCTTTCTACATGTGTTTCTTTGCAACATGCCTCACAATTTCTAATAAAACTCAGGCACTTGCACATCTCTCTAAAATTTCAGTGATTGAATTCTTCTTGATTCTTCTGCTGTAGATTGCACACATATTTTCAGTACTAAAAAAAATCATGAAAATACCTTGTGGATCATCCCACAATCTGAAATTAACTGCAGCCTAAATCTATCACATCTGAAGGGACATACCAACCACACTTTAAGCACCCTATTAAGTGCTTAAATTAGGCTGACTATAGAACTAATGAGGTGTGAGTAAGTTCCCAAATATTTTGAAGGGCCCCAAACTGAATGTCTGAACTTAGATGGCTTTCAAATCATCCATAACCATGTAAAATCACTCATGTAATTTAGGGGATGGACAGTGGTGAAACTGGGACGTTTGCAAGGTTTTTCAAAATACAAGAGCCCAGACTATCTGATCCATTCAAAACTGTCTTTACCTTTCAAACTCTCTACAGTGAGCTACACACAGAGTCAAAAACCAAGCTTGCAAAATATGCAAGTCTGATAAAAGTTTGAGTCACTTCTCTGACTGTATAAAACGTTACTTCTTGGAAACATGCAAGCAATCACTATCTTCCACTTCCAAAGAGTGTGTAAGCCTAATTTAAATGCAACACTACAGCAGGGTTGGAGCTTAGCACACTTGATCTAACCCTTGAGGTTAGAGAGGCAGCAGGACACTCAGAATTCAACACTACAGTAAAGTTCTGTTGTAAATGATGCTGCTTTTAAAAGCCAGTAAGATACAGAGTTTGGGGGAAGAAAGAAATATCTAAATTAAATTGGCTGGAGATTTTTAGCATGTCAGGTCTGCTTCCTGTAATGTGCTCATCTCATTAGGAGTAAACATTCTGTAAATCTAAGGAGTCAGTCAATGTATTCCACAACTAAAAATTCCTAAGAAAGGCTAGTATTGCCAATATGATCCAGTAGCTTTGTGAAAAACCTAATGAGCCAGAAACACACACATGTATTAGTCCAAGCAGTCACATCAAATTGGGAACAAATAGGAAGGAAAAGCTTGTGATTTATTTCAGTGCACTGTAATTTTGAGTGTGCGAGTGAGAAATAGTATTTGTTGAAAATTTTCATCTCCAGATGAATCAGAATATTTTCAAAAATTACACTTTTGTTCTTTGCTCTTTTACCAGTACGGAGCGCAGAAAGAGAAAGAGATTTGAAACTTAAGCTCAGGTTCACTGTACCTAACTGAGGTGCCTACATTAATCTAACACCTGCTAGATACTCCCTCCACGGTGAATGGAGGATGATTTATCCTACTTAAAATCTGAATTGGAGTTTCATCTTTTTCTCTGTTGATGACAAGCTAAAGCAAACAGACAAATAAAATACCAACCCTAAACCAAACAAAAACACACTATACAACCAAAACTGAAAAGAACAAGCCTGTTGTTTAATTAGTGGAACAGTAATACACCCATAGATTAAATATCCTCTACTTACCCATTTCAAAGTTGTCAAGTTACCTAATATTACCTCAACAGTAGGTAAATTACAAAGGATATAGATCAATGAGCTTCTGGAGCATGTCTGCAGAGGAGATGATAAACTGATGCATAGCCAGAATTATCTTTAGCAGCTGGTTGTTTTGATATGCATTTCCTTCTAAATCTGAAAAAAAGGAGGAGTATTCATAATGAAATTTCCATATATGTTAGTAAACAACCCACAAGAGGCTTTTGCAGAATACTAATTCTAATCAGGCCTGTTCACCTACACTACTTCAAAGACAGCAGTAACTTACTAACTTAGGAAATGCATTGTTTTTCTGATGAGAGATGAGTTATATAACAACAGCTATATTTCAGTACTAGGATTTGGAAGACCTCTATCTAAATAAATAAATAAATAAAAAATAAGGACAAGCAAAAAACCAGCTGTGTCTCAAAACCACTCAAAATATCCATATAACTACACAACATGATCTCAGCCCAGCAACGCACTTAAATGCTTAGCTTTAGGCAGAGGAGTACAACCTTTGAAACAAGTTAATGAATTGCGGAGCAAAAGAATTCAGTTATTGATAGATAACAGTCAGTCAGCGGCATGACTGGACTTATCAAACAGAATGGCAACATTCTTAAGTGTTTGTGAGGCTTTTTGTACAGCTGACATATATAACACTAAAATACATGCACAGGTTAGGATCTATACCTAGATGCACATGAAATGAGATACAATGTATGCAGAGCCCAGAGGTTAATCTACACATATTCCCACTGGTAGACCTAAATGTCCTAACACATTTCCTTGAACATTACAAAGATTTTTATTTGAAGCAGGTTTTTACACTACTTCTATCTTCTGGGTCTTGAGAGGTTTTTTTCCATATTCAGAAAAGATAAAGGACATCAAATGTAGCAGAACGTTTAAAAAAGTTTCCTTTTCTGTAGTAAACAGTACTGAAATGGTTTGTAAATATTAACAGATGATGTTTTTCTCCAGTCTGCCATGAGACAGCCTAAGTAGCTTGAATTGGAATTAGACACCCTTTCAAACACAGAAGAAAATTTACCTTTTTGAATAATTTTAAATATGTTGTCCTTTATGAGGACAAATTGAGCTACTACTTAAAATAGCAGTAACAGGAACAATATACAGAAGCAATGCACAATAAGGCAAAATGGAAGAGGTAGGTGAAACAGATGCCACTTCATACGCTGCAAATCTACTATTACCGGGGCGGGGGGGATTACATTGCACAACACCAAAAAGCAACATTAAACTTAGCCCACTTGTAAAACAACATAACCCATATTAGTCACTGAGCAAGAGTTTCCATGCCCTTCTACAGGAGGGTACCAAACGTGAAGACAGAACCCCAAAGCCCAGGCCTTTCCCTTTGAACAATACATTGGATCTTTGGTGAAACTCATAAAGCCTGAATTCCTCTAGACCTGCCTCCTCTATTCTTCACTCTACAATAGTCCTATTCATTCCCTTTATCACTACACTGTCCCCTGGAAGTCTTTTCCTTCTCTTCCCCACAACAATGCCGTAACTCCTCACTCGTGCTTGAAGTTATCGGCTACACAAAAGCAATACGTGCTGTGCTTGAACCCAGGCCGACTGGCCGAACAGCAAATCAGGTCAAACCAGTGCTGGGCTCACACAACTGCCCCTACACCAACGTGGGCACCCATCTGGATGTCTCTCTTCTACACAAGCTATTCTTTTGAGATTCCTACCTTTCCATCAAATTTAGTTTAAGCTGGCAGACAGGCTGACTATTTCACGCAGAGTAGATGTAGTTTAGTAGGAGGGTGACTCAGAATGGCCTAGGTCTGGAGTTCACAAGTGAAGTTATTGTTTTAGTTGGCTGTTTGAAGCCCTGAAAGCAGAGGACACTCTGGGTATCATATACCTGGTGCGGGTATGCTTTCAGCAAAAGCATAGTCAGTTTTGAGGAAACTCAATACAATAAACGGTCTTGAAATATCTTACTACAGCCAGCCTCTCAGGCAAGACAAGCAGAAAAATCCAGATCAGTAAATTCTGGCAGAGCCCACGTGAACATGCAGCAACCCACTCAGCACTATCAAGCCCAGAATAACAACTTTATACATCAGGTGATCTTCAACATGGAACATGAGAGACCATTTTCTGAATCTACATTCTGTAGTTCCACTTAAACTGTAAGAAGCAACTCTACCTACAGTGATGTGGGCAAGGGGAAAGTCTGCCTGTCCTACAGCCCCACAAATGAGAGCAGTACAGACCTCAAGTCACTAAAAGTTCTTGAGCTGCCTTTGGACTTATACTACAAGTTCTCAGTTTTATAGCATGAACCGAAGTTTATGCATTCCTTGTTCATGCTCTTACATAATTTTGTTCATTACCTAAAGAATCTTGCATGCAGAGGCCTATACCAATTTTCATCCATTTTACAAAACTTGGTATTCTGCCAGAGCCTCCATCCAAGAGCTCTTGTTTAATCGGAAAAGCAGTTCAATATATGCTTAACTTGGAAGCCAAATGGTTATGTGCACACATACTATTAAGTATATACAGCTGTAATTCAATCACCAGCTTTTCATAAAGTGGTGATATAAGTGCTCAATATAGATCATCTCCAGCTAACAAAGACAGCAAGTAACTGACTCTCCCAGCAGTTTCTATTCCATGGGTATTCCAAAATCCTCTGCCACGATACAACACAGGTACCACTTGGCACCAAGATCCATATTGAATTTCTGTCCTCTAGAAGGTCTCTTTTCCACTTTACCTTCTCCATTTTACAAAGATGCAGAGAAAAATAGTATGTTTCGCCTACTATTAGTGATGAGGTCAACACATTTATGGTATTTTCTTTCATAATAAAAGTGCATTTATGCTTCACAACATCCAGACCTAATTATCGAACAACAGACAGACTTCATTACGATGACATGCAATTACTTTGCACACATTAAAGCAGTACTAAGTTTCACGCTATGCATTCTCTTACCCAACTAAAAGGCTCATCTCCAAAGAAAAACATTGTATTAGTGATGGTTTAAAAACCAAAATAAACACTCTGCAGCAAAAAACCTCAAGGTTGCCTGCCCAGTCCAGCACTGAAGAGAAAGTCTGCATGCAATTGTAGCAGCACCCGATTTTACAAACACGTGCCGTATCAAATATTTAACATCATCTTCCTGCCCAATTTTAAAAGGAGGCACTTTTCAAGTGCATACACCATGATACAGCAAATGTTACTAAAAAGAAAAATATTGAGTCTGATTCCTCTTCTATTTGTATTTCACAAATTCATAATTAAAAAAATAATCCATGGAGTTAAAAAGGTTTCAGGTAAAAAAGTCCCTTAGGCGAGAAGAGACGCCAGCTCAGTCTGGGTTTCAGAAATATCGTTGGGTCTTTTGCACCTCTGACCACTAGGTCACTTCTTTTCGGAGAGCTCATCTTCTAAACAGAGCTGTGTGTAAGGAAGTAACAAAAGTTACGGTAAACCACCTTTGTGCAAATGTTGGAGCCAATAAGAGGGCTTTCCTGACTGTGTTGCAAGTGTCTCTGAATGCCTCTGCAGCACCCTCTTGAACCTCCAGCAGTTGGGTTTAAAACTCTGAGACTCATTTTCATTTCCGTTTGTATACCTGTTTCTAACCACATACCCTGCTGAGCAAAAACCACTAAGTGAATACCAAATAAAGTGGAATGGGTGTGTTTCAGTTAGTCAATGTACCTTAAAGAAAAGCTGCAAAATACTGCATAAGCCTTAGCTTTGTTTCACTGCAGCAAGGTACAAATAACCCACTGGTTACATGCTTTTCCTCCTGTAAATGCCATTATTGTACTAAGATGTTTTTAACAAGGAAGAAGGAATGGAATATACTTTTCCAGTATCTAGCTAAACTACATGAGCGAAAGCACAAACACATTTATGGTTAAATATTGTACTATCTATGTAATAACACAAATCTGTTGAAAACTACAATTACAAAAGCTCCATTGCATTTGTGAGACTCAGAACACACAAGGGCAAGAACATCCTGACCTAAGCCCACCAGCCACTCTATTGCACAACCCACTGGGGGCTCCCTGTAATCCATGATTTAGAAATAACTGAAGTATCACTTGTTCCTAGAATAGCTGAAAGAATAAAAGTACTCAAAAGCCAACAAGCAAGGCTTTAAGAGCAAACTGCCTGCGTTTCAGCAGGTCCTGACGGCCACCAAGCCTGTGGTAAATACACTTAACAGAAAGAGTATGTTCAATAAACAACATTGTTGTACTGAGACTTTCCCACTCACGAGTGCAGCTATAAGGCAACAGGAAGAATGCCAAGGATGTCTTAACTGAACTGAATTTTGCAAGAAAGAAAAGTTAGCTTTTCTAGGTCTGAGGCCTTTATTTCATAAGCATTGTCTTTATTTCATAAGCAGGTTCCAACTCTATCACCTAGTGTACAATCTGAAATGAATCAGAAGTGAATCACAGAGCACTGATATCATGTGATCACTGACTAAGCTACTAAGAACTTGAATACCTCTTTGTCAACTCCTTTAAGTCTTCCAGCGGTTATCAAAAAGTAGCACCAAAAACAATGCAATGCAAGAAAGTATCAAGTAATTGCCAGGTGGTCTTCAGCAAAGCTGAAAGCTGTGGGTTGCTACACTGACATGCTACACAGAATTTTTCAGGATTTATGCAAAGTGGGTTTTTTTTCTGGTGGCTTAAAGAAGATGTGTGGGGACGTCTGCAAGGATTATTAAAGCAGTATGCGATTTGAACAGGGAAGGAACTGATGGTCTTAAGGTCTCAAAGACCTTGATGAAACACATAGCCATATATGAAATATGGAGGTACAAGTTGGAGTACATGCTAGGGTTTAGTGACTGAACTGAAACAGGCATAAGTCAATGTCTCTGCGCCACATGTGAGGTGCAGTACTATGAGACAACCTTAGAATGGCTAGAAGCAACCAAAATTGGATAAAGTATTTCATGAATACTTCCTGGAACTTCTCTTCACAAATAGGAAACACTTTGTTCCCCTTCAGTTTAAAACTTACCCAACACATACTAGTCTTCTTACTACAGGCTTATTACTGCTATTTTGGAATTTGGTACCCTGTAGCAGAGGTAGTCACTTAACTCTTTTCATTAAATTGA